ACATTTGCTTCTTTTAATGTCTAGGTTCACTTTCTTAAGACAGACATATCTGCACGTATGTATACATGTTCATATGCATACAAACATCTTTATAACATTTTATAACTTTATGAAAAAAGTAGAGAAACTAAGTGGTGGAAAAACCTAGTTCACAAGGTTCTCACTAGAGCACTAAAAAACTATGTTCATATTGGATAGCTAACTGAGAAACTAGTCCAGAGCTCCCTGCATTTTACATGTGCTGCTAGGACCCAGCTACTCTAGATGGACTAGGAAACAACTTTCAACACAAATTCGTGGGCCAAAGGCATCTGTGCTCTCCTTTTTGCACAAACCTTTACTAAGCACTGTGTGTTCCAGGCAGAGTCGAATTCACAACAAACTCTTTTCATGCTTTTTAACATAGTGGCTTAATTCTGCTTATTTTAATGATAAACATCTAATTCCCAAGCTGACTATACTGAGTGAATGATACTTATTCAACATCCATGCTCAGAAGTGAGGGAAGGCATTTCCCTTCAAATGTCAGCGGTGGTGTGCCTAGACGGTCTGCATGCCTGAGCTTCTCCAGCTAATAACGCGTAATAGTCATCTCCAAGGAAGGCAGAAGCCACAGTTGCATCTTGAGGGGCTCCAGCAGAGCAGCAAGGAAACTGTGTACATTTAAAGTGATTCACAAAACTTAAAAGCAGCAACATTTCTATCACAAAATTCATATTAACAGGTCACTTTTAGAAGAACTAACTTTAAAAGAAGAAAAATTCCCCGCATCGAGAACTTTTATCAGCCTTTTTCCGTGGGTTCATTTGCCTATATACAGTTCGACAGTGTTGGGTTTGGTTGGTAACACTTACACCTCGTGCACAGGAGCGGTAACACCAAGAATGACTTTTGGGGATGTCTTCTGGATGCAGAAATTAGTTGAAACTGACAATAATTTTAAAAAGGCACTACTGTTTTTCTCATATTTCTGAAATATATTTAGAATAAGTTTTCCAAGCCACATATTTGTGTACTGCTGATCAGAACAATTTAATTAATAGCTTAATTAATGCCTGAGAGCCACTAAAATAAGGCTTATTACCCTTAACAAAACATCAGACTTAGAAAACCACACAACCTGGTATTTCTCAGAAAGACGAAGCATTTGTGTCATAGAAAAACAACTGGTATAAAATTAAGTAAAGTTTAGAAATTTAATGTAGATATTTTTTGGTCTATTTGCTTTCCAAAGAATAAACAATCACTTTAATCATCTTAACATTTTCTGCCAAAATGCAGATGGTCACTTTCTACCCTCAGTTGCACTTGCTGAATGGTGAATTCTACTTACAGAAAATAAAAAAAGTCAGCAATTTCTTACAGTGAAATACAGGGAGAAATGAGATGGCATGTATAAAAAAAGAGAGAAGATTATGACTTGAAAAGTGATGAAGTCACTTCACTGATTAGAACAGATAAAACTTCCACACTGGAAAACAGCACAATCACTTTCGTTTTCTTTTAGTCCCCTTCTGTGTATTCGACACAGTATCTTCCTCCTTTCCTCCCTTTTGCTGGCCTCGCGTGCTTAATAACACGGCAGGTTCGACGTGTCCATCTGAAGCGTCGTTAGAATAAAAAGTACAGTAACAAAGTCAACACCTTCCTCATACATTTTACTGTTCTGAGGAACAAAAGTGCACACCTTTTTTACTCTGGATCTTATTAAGAGAAGCCTCAGACGTAAGAGATATCAGGACTCACGGAGCTGAATTTTTCTCCAACTGCAAACCAAAAAGTACGAATAATGTTGCTGCTCCCAAGACTGGTATAAACCTGGAAGAACTCTGCAAGGACTTGGAAACCCAGGAGTTTTGTCTCCCATATTCCTCTGACTTTAAGCTATGTAGGATCACATCAGCAAAAATACAAGTATTGTATTATTTTTCTCAGAGGGAGAATTACTGAAACTTTACAGAAGCTCTAAGACCAAAACTTTCTGTTACCATGAGCAACCTGATGTAACGTCGCTAACGTCACATATGGTCACTATAGTGACTATACACTCACGAACTAACGTTAGCCCCGCTTTGCGTGGGGAGTTGGACTGGATCATCTGCTTACGGCCCCTTCAGCCTAAATTATTCCGTTCCATAATTTGGTGGTTGATTATTTAAAATGGGGTTCCCCTCGTGAGTGACACATCCGAACGCTCCACAATAAACTCTTGTTGCTGTTGTTGTGCCTTGACAGGGAAAGTGATCTGAAATCACCTTTTAGGAAAAAAAGGCTGTTCATTATCAACTACACTGAAGATATAATTTTATAAAATCCAACCCTTTTGTGCTGCTTCTGTTAGAAACATCGAAGAAATGATATAAATGCAAAAATCATAGTTTTTGATAACACAAGACGAAAAGAACAGCTGTATTGGATCCAACCAAAGACCGTTCACCCTAATACCATGTTTCTGACTGTGGCCAGCGTGAAAGCCCAGGGAAGAGCAGCAGTTAAACGTTACCTGCCCATACAGGAGGCCCCCCCTGTGCTGAATGCTGCTGCCAGAGCAAAGGGCTAGCGGGAGAAAGCAGAGAGCACTCGGGTGGAGATATCTTTTGCTGTTAATTTCAAGACTTCAAGATGAGGCACAAATATGGACATGTCTTTTAAATAAAATATCCTTAATCAGTTTGCTTAAAGTACGTGTAGCCACGGATCAAATAAACCAACTGGCACTGGGGTATGCCAGTGTTTCCGGTCTAGTTCTAGCACAGGATATCCAGGGCACGTTGGAGCTGCTAGATCCAACAGGTGAATTATGCCTTTTTTATATATTAGGCAGGCTTGAGAGAAGTGGTAGCTGTCTCTACAACAGCTGCATTCCTCGCACACCAGAAACTCATAAAAATCAAGGCAAATTAAAGCTGTATAAGTATTTGACCCCAGAGAACCATATGCACACTGCTCAACGTTTTAAATCCCAGTCCTGCAAACATATACACACAAGAAAACGCTAAGCATCTGAGTAGTTTGTTAACAAGAAAAATCACTACGCAAGCGTACGAGAACTACACAGGCGCTTGAAGTTAGTCGAGATACTTGCAGGGTCGGAGAATACATCTGTTCTCCCCATGAACGTCAGCACTGCATCCAGAATACTGCGCCCAGTTTGGGGCTTGCCGACACACGGGCGACATGGATAAACTAGAGCATGTCGAGCGCAGGGCTGGCCGGGGCTGGAGCGCAGGCCCGGGGAGGAGAGGCTGAGGGCACGGGCCTGCTCGGCCTGGAGAAGGGGAGCCTCCGGGGACCCAAGATGAAGCCCTACAAAGAGGTTACGGAGATGACAAGGCCAGGCCCTTTGCAGCGCTGCCTGATGGGAGGACGCAACGTAACTGGAAACGAGAGAGGTTCAGACCGGGTATAAGGAGAAGGCAGGTCAAGCACGGGAACAGGCACCTGGAGAGGCTGCGCCGTCTCCGTCCTTGGTGGTTTTCAAGACCAGGCTGGATAAAACCCTGAGCAACCTCATCCGGCCTCAGAGGTGACCCTGCCTTCAGCAGTGGGGGGACTAGAGCCCTCCTGAGCTCCCTTCCAGCCCAAATTTGCCTATGAGGCTACGTCATTCACTATCCCCTTTTGAAGACACCTATGGCATATTTTGCTTTTGGCCTGATCCTTTGCTGTGGGAATTACTTTAACATAAACAGGTCAATCAGAGAATCGATTCAGATGCCACGTTACTCTTTGTAATGTGCGCTCTCCAAGACTTTTAACCTTTCAGTCTGCCAGATACCCGGCACTGCCATGGTTTGCCTACACAGCAGTGTTTCAACCAAGACCAGAGGCAAGCTGCTATTTTAGAGAGGACTGATGCAGTAAGCGTGGCTGTGATTTCACTTACCGTTTGTTTACCCAGGGTGGTTGCACCAAAGTCCAAAGAATGACGCAAGCAGGAAACAAAAGCGAAGGCCCAGACACACCTCATGTATCTCCTCGATCACATACCTTTGCTGGGCAAATGGAGAAAGCATCTTTTCTGTGATACGTGAAGCTTAACCAAAACTAAAAGTTAGATTCGGTTCGAAAATATAACCCTGCGACCTTACAAACAAAAATATTACTCGCCATTGATTTAAACTGACAAACTGCACAATCTCGTACTCTGCCGGGGTTTGTTATACGCTCTGCAAAACTCCGTACTTTCAGTCAGTCCTCTTGCGCTTTCAGACGTGCAGAGTAACTGCTGTTTTGTCAGCAGCAAACGCGCTTTGGGGGGGCGGCCACCGGCCGGAGGGGAGGCTGCCGGCGCGGCCGCTCTC